GGGCGGGCGGGTGGGCCCTTCGCCGTTTCCGGAAGTTACTTACTTCCGGGTTCGCCTACCAACCAGTTCGTGGGGACCGCCACGAACCGGTTGAAACCCACCCCTGCACTACTGACACAACCTACATTATTTTTGATGTCTGGGACCAATCGCAGTTTAACTCTTTTTCATTGTAAAGTGTCCAGTAGCAAGTCAACTCTACAGATGGTTGTGCGCCTTATGCCAAATCAGACTAGAGGTCTATCTTGGACAAACCTGTTCATTACACTGCTGATGTGGCTCTTGTGAGTTCTCTGCAGAAATATTTTCTTTGGAAATGAGTAAAATTGCACCGGAGCCCTTCTGTAGGGAGAATAATAGCTCTATCTATATATTACAATAGTGGTCCCCAAATTTTATGACTTGGCGGCCCGGTGGGGGTGGAGGAGAGAGGAACTGGCCCATGCAAATGCTGAGCTGGTGAGCATATGAGCTTACCGGCCCACCGCTTGTGCAAGTTGAGCTGCACGCGCATGTACATGCACGCTGGCCTTCCACTTGTGGAAGTCAAACTGCGTGCAGCCCTGCGTACTGGCCAGCCACTCATGTGGTCCAGTTCTGAAAGGGTCACGACTCAGAAGTGGACCGTACCCCAGGGGTTGGGGACCCCTGTATTATAACCTCCAAGAATATTTGACTTCACTGCCACTGTGAACTGTTTCACTATAAGTCATTTGGAATATGATTTTTATAGAAATTATAGTTATATTTCAATGCAGCAAAGATTCTGGCAATACCTTCCTTCCTTCCTTCCTTCCTTCCTTCCTTCCTTCCTTCATTCATTCATTCATTCATTCCTCTCATAGCGGTTTACCACAATACACTGAAATTGTAGTAAATTGTTACACAATAAAGAAGAATATGCCAGAATGTGTCATTTAATAGTTGGTACAAGGGCATAAAATCATTACAGCTGTGGGCTTCATAACATTCATTGTTCACAGACTTATAATTTTTCCTGTGGATGCATGGAATCTTCTCAAATCTTGCCTTAGAATCGTGAAAGCATTTTAAAACAATTGTATATTTTGGACTTTAGGAACAAATACAGACTCGCTTGGATTTCTTGAAGAAAGAGAGACAAGAACTCCTGGAATTCAAAACTCAGGATGACAAAAAGAGCCAAGAATTGCTGGTAAGTACTTAACTGCTACTCAGAAATTGGCACGCTTGTGCAGCATTGTTCAGTTAGGTGACTCATTAAGATTTTTGAAGAAAATCTTCAAAAAGAATTATGTTTGTTAATGTCTATGGAGAGTCTTGACTTTTTAAAAACTGAGAGATGGAAGGTCCTCCTTGAATTTGAAGGGCTAAATCCTTTTGAGTTTTTTAATGTCACAACCATAAACCAGAAATGAGGCTTCCATATTCAGAAGCACTGTGTCCCTATTTCCATATACTGAGGTGGAATAATAAATCATGTCACTTTATCTTCTCATCTCCTAGTAGTTCTTTGAAAAGCAGGATGTAAGTAGAATAATATATCAACATCCTATAGGAGAGGTTCCTCTCAGGCCCACACTGGAGAGATCTTTGAGAAACATTTATTTATAGAATTCAGTGAATATCTTGTTTTTCCGTCCATAGGGCATTCATACACTGTATTATAGATAGTCCTCCAACTTATAAGAGCCGAGGTGGCGCAGTGGTTAGAGTGAAGTACTGCAGGCTACTTCAACTGACTGCTAACTGCAGCTCAGTAGTTTAAATGTCACCAGGCTCAAGGTTGACTCCATCCTTCTGAGGTGGGTAAAATGAGGACCCAGATTGTTGGGGGCAATAGGCTGACTCTGTAAACCGCCTAGAGTGGGCTGTAAAAGCCATATGAAGTGGTATATAAGTCTAAGTGCTATTGCTATTATGGAAAATACAGGTAGTCCTTGACTTACAACAGTTCATTTATGACAGTTGAAAGTTACAACAGCACTGAAAAAACTGAGTTATGACCTTTTTCCACACTTACAACCATTGCAGCATCATGTGATCAAAATTCAGACATTGGGTAACTGACTCTTATTTATGATGCTTGCAATGTCACAGGGTCATATGATCAACTTTTGTGAACTTCTGACTAGCAAAGTCAATGGGGAAGCCAGATTCACTTATCAACTACGTTACTAACTTAACAACAGCAGGGATTCACAACTGTGGAAAGAAATGGGGCAAAACTCACTTAACAAATTTCTCACTAAGCAACAGAAATTTTTGACTCATTTGTGGTTGTAAAGGTAAAGGTTTCCCCTCGCACATATGTGCTAGTCATTCCCGACTCTAGAGGGCGGTGCTCATCTCTGTTTCAAAGCCAAAGAGCCAGTGCTCTCTGAAGACGTTTGCGTGATCATGTGGCCAGCATGACACAACGCCAAAGGCACACAGAGTGCTGTTACCTTCAGTTCCTATTTTTCTACTTGCATTTATACATGCTTTCGAACTGCTAGGTTGACAGAAGCTGGGACAAGTAACAGGAGCCCACTCTGTTACATGGTGTTAGGGATTTGAACCGCTGAATTTTCTGATCAACAAGCTCAGCATCTTAGCCACTGAGCCACCATGTCCCAAATTGTGGTTGTAAGTTGAGGATTACCTGTATTCTAGTTTTAGGCCAGTTTTCTCTGAAACTGGTACTCTTCAGCTGTATTGAAGTTGCCAAAGCATTGGGGGGGGGGGGGCGTGATTAAACTAGCAAAGTCTATTCCAGTGATAATTCTTTCAGGATAATTGTCTTCTGCTTCCTCACTTTCTTTCTTCGACTTTTTAAAAAGAAAACCATAGAAACCGAGAGACAGAAAGTCCTCTCTGAATTTGAAGGGCTACGCCAGTTTCTTCATGATCAAGAACAGGTTCTCCTTGGACAGCTGGACAAGATGGAGAAGGGCATCGTGAAAAGACAGAATGAAAACATCACAGAGCTGTCCAAGGAAATTTCCCTCCTCAACAAATTCATTGCTGATCTGGAGGACAAAAGCCAAGAATCATTGCTTGATTTCCTCAAGGTAAGACTTAGTAACAGACAAAGATTGTAGAAATTTTGTGTAACGGCAGGTGTTTTTGTATTAGCACACATCACTGGGTGTTGGGAAAACTTAGCTATAGCTTACTCAACACACCAGAAGAACAATGCAGCAATTTAGTGACTTTAGAATAGAATAGAATAGAATAGAATAACAGAGTTGGAAGGGACCTTGGAGGTCTTCTAGTCCAACCCCCTGCCTAGGCAGGAAACCCTATACTACTTCAGACAAATGGTCATCCAACATCTTCTTAAAAACTTGATTAGCTAAACGTGGTAGGACTTAGTTTCAGTAATTTATAGCTTTCAAGCACTCATGTCAGAGAGAGGGAGATTACTAGTTGGATTTGTTATTATATAACCTGAAATCTTTCCAGCTGGACATGTTTGGGGCAAATGATATGCATATTGCTTTTTACCTGAATTCTTTAAATATTACAGAAATTATACCAGCAACATAGTATTGCTGAATAGGCTAAAAATTACATAATTCTAGGAGTATATTATAGAATCCTACTGATCAAAGAAATGACATTTATGTGCTTTCATGCCTTAGTAACTGGGGATCATATATAAACATACACACACACAGTGTGTGTGTATGTGTGTGTGTATGTGTTCCAGTGTAACTCTGGAACGCTTTGAGCAATTTCAATCAAACTTGGTACACAGATGATTTACTCTCTGGAAACAAATACAGTGGGGGTAAGACACCTCTAACACTCCTCAGGGTGTGTGTTCTGTTAAGATACAGCCTGTTGTGCCTTAAAATGGATTCTACCGTACTGCTGTAAAATGGCTTCTACTGTATAGTGCAGTGGAGTTGCCATGGTAATGGCTTCACAATACTCCACAAGGGGGCTCCCTCTAGTAAGGGGGGAAATCCATCATTATAAATTACTTTTGGTCTGGACATTTTCAACAAAATCAGGGCTTTTCCTGTCTAATATAAGATTCAAATAAATAAATACCCCGGCAATGTCGGGTTATCTGCTAGCATTATATAAAAGAGAAACTGTCTGGAATTATTGCTTACTTGTGTAATGTTTTAGGAAGATACAAACCTGCTTGTGTTTCCTAATTTATTTAAATAAGTGTTTTTCAACCTTGGCAACTTTAAGATGAGTGGACTTTAACACCCAGAATTCCCCAGCCAGCGTGTCCACCCACCTGAAAAATGGCCAAGTTTGAAAAACACTGATCTAAGTAAATGGAGTTTTTATTTGTTTATGAACTAGGGCCAGATGTTATAATATTTCTTAGAATTGGTAGAAAAAATTGTTTCGAGGTTGGAGACTTTAATTCAACAACCTTTTAAAATATAGGTCAGTGGCTGTTTGTATTTATACTGAATAAACCCTTCTATCTTTGCCACTTGAAATTTGCAAAAAAGTTCTCCCCTGCCTTAGGTTTTGGCCATGATCATTACTCTCATGTTACACCTGATGTTTCCATACTATAGAGTTTCTTATGACTATTTAAAGATTGCCACATTCTTTTCTGAAGCCGGTAGCACTTGAGAAATTAAGGTTAAGGTTCCTTTAAGTGTGCATGGTATCTATTAATAGTTTACTGTACTTAAAGATGGTGGTGGAAAATGCAGTGGGAGGTATATTGAGTATTCTGCAGCTTTTTCTCTGGAAAGAGTCAATGTCCATCTGATTTCATGACAACTGAGAAAGCCGAATTGGTTCTGCTTTTTTCAGGAGTGTTATAGGCAGCATTTCATGATCAGTTGACTAAGCCACATGTCTTCCTTAAAGCAAATACTGTAGTTCCTGAAATGTAAACAAACTGAGAAGCAACAAGACGAGTCGCAGGCTAGGGAGAAACAAGACAAATTTATCATTTATTTATTTTTCAAATTGCCTGCAGCAGTTTACAATACTAAGTAAAACCAAACTTTTAGTGAAAATGAATTAGAGACCTAGAAGTAAATAATGATAAAGGCAAGCTATCAGAATGTAGTTGTTGCTACATTATGTAAAAAGAACATCAGGAAGAAATTGCCAGCTTATAAAAATATATATTTTTAATAATAATTTTCAGACTACATTTAAAAGTAATGACAGTCAAGGTCATACAGATACTCCTCATGCTGACACTTAAGACTGATGAAAAAGTATATGATTTTCACAGATCAATACAGCAAAGGAAAGCTGAAGTAGGATCATAAGCAATGTTGTCATTTCACTTAGTGGCTGCTTTGCTTAACAACTGAGCTGGGGGTAGTCACTAAACAAGGATTATCTATATTTCAGCGAGAATGAAATTCCACAGCTTGCGTGGCCAATACAAAGAAAGATGATATTCTAGTTAACTGCAGTCAGGTCTCCTTTCTTGGTGGCACCATCAAAAGACTCTTAGTTAATGAGTGGAGACTCCAGTTAGTACAATAGACCAGGACATCTTTTTCCCTAATTCTCTGTTCTTTTTCTTTTTTCTCTCTCTCTCCCTCTCTCCCTCCCTCCCTCCCCCCCCATCTCTTGTAGGATGTGACGGCTATTATTGCCAGGTATGAAGCTGCATTTCCACCCTCTCTTTCCCTTTGAATAAATAAATAAATCAAAAGGTCAGTGACAGCTGTTTGGAGAAATATGGTCTTAAAGACATGCTGGGCCCAGCCCCCCTTGGATCAGGGTTAATACTCCTAGGCTGTTGATGTCTTATTTATATGGAAATTAGATACTCTTCGACTCTGAAAGTCTTAGGTTTCGTTCATCTATATATGCAGTGGAGCTAGTAGGAGCCAGATTGAAAGAATGGTTTCTATGTATTCAGAGAGCTTAAGTTTGCTCAAATTTGCTTTGCTCAAGTTTGCTTTGACCAAAGTTGCCCAACTTATCTAATTTCCATAAATAGCAATAGCCTTTAGACTGATATACTACTTCACAGTGCTTTACAACCCTCTCTAAGCAGTTTACAGAGACACCAACAATGTAGGTCCTCATTGTACTGAACCTCGGAAGGATGGAAGGCTGAGTCAACCTTGAGCCGGTCAGGATCGAACTTTTGGAAGTGGGGAGAATTAGCCTGCAATACTGCATTCTAACCACTACGCCACCATGGCTAATACAAAAATAAAAATGCAAATCCTAGCAGAGGTGGGTTGCTCCTGGTTCGGTCTGGATCAGGCGAACTGGTGGTAGGGGTGGTGGGAAGCTCCGCCCACCTGCCCGGATGCTTCTGCGGATGCACAGAAGTGTTGTGCACACGCCTGAACTGGTAATAAAAAAATTGGCAACCCACCACTGAATCCTAGCATGTGGGTTCCAGAACCCCAATGAAAGTTGACACCAAACTGCAATTTGGCAAAATTCTTTAAATTTGTGGGTGTAAGTAAATTCACATAAAGTTAAATTCTACACCGTTTTACTTTGACCACGTCCAGTTTTTGGAATATGACTGTCAATATCAAATGAATCTATCAACATGAAAAGGGATGTGCGCTGTTGTCTTATGTGAGTCTTCCCAAACAAATGTCCTCTGGATGTGTTTTGGAACTTCCAAAAGTGCCTTTGAAAGAAATTCTGGAAATTGTCTTAATGTATCTGGAGGGCCCCAGGTTAGGTCATCCTGGAGGGAATCTGTCCATGTAATTCCTAGGAATCTGTGACCCGACAATTGCGCGATAGACATATGTGCACCAACAAAATAGCGCCGATTAAAACGTGACATCAAAATCGCACCGACAAATTCGCAATGATAAAATCACGACGACAAAAGCGCGATGACAAGCACAATAAAATCGCAAAAATTTTAAAACTCAGCAGTAAAAATTTATTATGCCACTAAATAATTTGAATTAATTTAGGGTTAGGGTTAGGGTTAGTTGCACGTATTGTTGTACACCCACTGGGCTGTCTATATGATGCAATTTTGTTGTCGCGCATTTGTCGGCGCACTATTGTTGAAAATCAATTAGCGATTTTGACGGCGCTAATTTGTCCATCACGGTTTTGTTGGTGCACATATGTCTATTGAACCCTAGGAATCTACTCTCAGGTTGATAGTACTTCATCAGTCAATCAAACAAATACCAAGCTGAGGGTAAAGATAAAGGTTTCCCTTCCACATATGTGCTAGTTGTTCCCGACTCTAGTGGGTGGTGCTCATCTCTGTTTCAAAGCCGAAGAGCCAGTGCTGTCCGAAGACGTCTCCTGTGGCCAGCATAACTAAATGCACAGAACGCTGTTACCTTCCCATCAAAGATGGTCCCTATTTTTCTACTTGCATTTTTACATGCTTTCGAACTGCTAGGTTAGCAGAAGTTGGGACAAGTAACGGGAGCTCACTCCGTTATGTGGTGCTAGGGATTTGAACCACCAAATTGCCAACCTTTCTGATCGACAAGCTCAGCGTCTTACCCACCGAGCCAGCTGAGGGAAGGGTAGCTTAAAGATTCAGATGATTTCAACTTTTCCTTCTCAGAAGTGTGAAATAGAATAGTAACTTGTCCTTGTAGAATCTATCTGGAAGCTCTACTATATAATGCAAAATCTGAAATTTACTTAAAGCCAAAGAACCTGGGTGCATTACAAATATTTCCTCTATTCTTTTGCCATTAAATTTCCACTCAGATTAAAAGCACAGGTGAGAAATAACTGTTGAAGCCTCAAACTTACCAGTTGTTTTGAACCATAATGGAAAGTTTAGGATAATACATCTACCAGTCCTGATATCTTTCTTTTGTTTGTTTGTTAGAAGTGACAATGTTAAATGTCAGCAGCCTATCCCAGTTTCCTGTGACATGAAGGGCCATGTCTCCAACTTCTCTCTGAAGACGGTGGCACTCAAGGGAGCACTTAAGAAGTTCAGAGGTAGAGAATAATGAACACTTGCCATGAAAATCTGATTATTTTAGCATTTAAAGAAAGTTGGGGCATGGAAACTCCAATGCCGGCATAGAATAATAAGAGTTACTTGATTGTTCATATATAGCTGTGTTTGGAAAAAAGGGAATCAACAACTAGTTTGTATGATTCCAATTAAAATGAGCACTTAAGATAGAGTGAAAATTACACAAGTAAGATAAAATCATGCTATATTCATGTTATATTGTCTGATATAAAAGATTGATACAAAAATGGATAAGGCTATCCTTTTATAAATATTAGCAGTAAAGTAATTTTAAATCAACCATATTCGTAAAGTAATTAGTATTAAAATTCTACACTTCTAACTTGACACCCAGCTATCTACCTTTGCTAATAGGTTTTACAACAGAATAGCCCATTTATCTATTTTTACCACACACCATTCTCCTCTAGCATGTAGAGGTATGATTTTGAGAACGATATTCAGGAAGAAGCTTTTGTAGTTAAATGGGATTGTAGGATGGCCCTGAAATGGGCCAGAGGTCTTTATTTCCAATATTCTGGTGGCCAGCCTAAAAATGATGTTCTGTTGGCCAGGAGAGCGTATCAGTCTGTGGAATTCATTCCCACAAGACATGGTGATGGCTACGTTTAGAACAGAGTTGGCTAATTTATAGATGACAGGTCTATCAAGGGCTTTTAGTCTTGAAGACTCAACTTCTCTCTGAGTTGATTCTGAAATACCCAGGAAGTATAGATATCCTTGCTTACAACCAGTTATTCAGTGACTGTTCAAAATTACAATGGCACTGAAAAAAGTGACTTACTTACGGCCATTTTTCATAGAACCACCCCCATGGTCACATGATCAAAATTCAGAAGGCACACAATGGCCGTCTTTTCTTTCTTGCCGGATTGAGAGCTTCCCTGGGTCAAACAAGGAGTTGGTGGTCTCCTTGTGATCTACAGAGTCTCCTTTCTTCTTCACCACCTCTTCAAGGTGGCTTAGATCCATTGGGACTCTTTGGCAAGATGAATTTGGCAAACCTCCACAGAGCCCTATGGAGTAATCATCATTATGCCGCCATGTCATCTCCGTCTCCCTCTCCCCCTTTGGACTTTCTGACCACCAAAGTAAATTTATTTAACAACTGTGTTATTAACTTAATAACTGCAGTTATT